TCTGTTGCACGTCCTCGCTGCAGGGCAGAAGCACTGTGGACTGGCACGTTGTTTTCATCTCGGCATGCTCCACCCTTCAAACGCGCAGAAAGCTAAGCCGCATGTCTTGGCAGTCTGCCAGAATCCCTGGCTGTTTCCTTGGTGTAAGTCCACCTAGAGAAAATCTGCTGCAAATACCAAGTCTGGGGAGAAGAGCAGTGTGAGGGAGGAGAGGTAAACTGAGGCAGACCAAAGAGATAGGAGAGATGTTGGCCACCAAGGCAGGGACTAGCACTAGCTAATAATCTGAAAGCAAAGGAGACCAGAATAAATACTGCATGAGCTTCTACGTCCCTCATAAGAAAGCAAAAGTGTCTGAAACTTCCTACCTCTAGTATCATTTCTCTTAATGCATTTAGGACAAGGCACTTTATGCCAATGTGCCTTGGGTTTCCTGAAGGATACTACTCATGAGAGTTTTCCCTAGGGTTTGTGTGTGCAACAAAATGGAAAGAAAGTACATGTTTGAAATTTTTTTGTGGGATTTGGGTGTGGGGATAGAGGCACCTAATTTTGACTCTTTTTCCTGTATAAACATTGCAGTTTGGTTTAGGAGTCTGTGTGTCCCAGAAACCATTTCCACTACCAGGTCAATCTATCTTGCTCAGGGAATGGGTAATCAACATGGTGCTAAAAATAGCTTTCAAGGAGATATAGCCACATTAGGACTCCACTTGTCAGACAAATCATTAAGTCGCACAAGAAGATGAACGTTTTCCCCACAATTCGTGTCTGATCTTTCTGCTCACTAGAGGTCCACCTACGTTCACTTGGATGAGAAAGAAACCAGCAGCAAACCATGGCCCTGTACAGGTGTTCAGACGTGAGGCATGCCCTTCACAAAAAGCAACATTTTGCAAGAGAGGTGAAGAACTGTGCCACACTGAAACGTGTTTCTGGCTCTTTCCTTTTTCCCTTTATTCAAGCTACCCAAGATCAAAATGAATCTACATAGGTTTTTCTAAACAGACACTTTACAAGATTTTTTTTTTTTTTCCCAAGGCTGCTGGTTTCTGACTTCAGTTTTGTAAGCTCTTAATTAATGATTAACTCATCGTAAGGTTGAAATATGCAAGTCATTCTCAAGATATTAACATAAACAAAGCCAGAGAAATGCAATTGTGCTTTCAAGATGACCTTGCTGCTGCCTTGGGAATGTCAGGAGCTCTGCTGAGGCCTTGGGCACTGTGACAACTCAACACACTGCCAAGTCATAGATTCATAGATTTCTAGGTTGGAAAAGACCTTAGAGATCATCGAGTCCAACCATCCCTAATCCCCATTAAACCATATCCTCAAGTAGATCATCCACCCTATTCTTAAACACATCCAGGGATGGGGACTCAACCACCTCCCTGGGCAGCCTATTCCAGTGGCTGACAACCCTTTCAGAGAAGAAATACTTCCTAACATCCAACCTGAATCTCCCCTGACTAAGCTTATGCCCATTTCCTCTTGTTCTATCACCCATCACTAATGTAAAGAGTCCTTCCCCTACCTCCCCACCATCTTTTCTCAAGTATTTATAGGCCGTAATCAGGTCTCCCCTCAGCCTCCTCTTCTCCAGGCTAAACAGCCCCAACTCCCTCAGCCGCTCCTCATAAGTTTTATTTTCCAGCCCCTTGACCAGTTTAGTTACCCTTCTTTGGACTCGCTCCAGGAGCTCAATATCCCTCTTAAAGCGAGGGGCCCAAAACTGGACACAATATTCCAGGTATCGATAGTTGCACTTTTCAAACTAAAAACTTCCGAAAGAACTTTTTCCTGTGAGCACAGGCTAAAAGCACAAACGGCCTCAGAAAT